GGATGGATGCAGAGAGGCAGACAGGGGTTAGGGTAGGATCTAGCCTACAAGGTTATACTTGAGTGACTGACCTACATTCTCCAGCTGGCACCACCCCCTAACATCACCATCTGGGGTCTGAGTGGCTCATACATGAGCCTGTGGAGGACAGTTTCACATTCAAACTGTAACAGGGTGTCAGACACTATTTTATTTAATATTGTCGTGCCCAAATTCTGAACCCCAAATCACCAAGAGGCCCATTTCGATGCAAAAGCAAGGAGTCTTTTGTTGTAGTTGTTTAACAAGCTAACCCCATTAGTTCGGACCTTTTATCCATTCACTGCAGCCGATGGCTGGAGAAAAGACCCCGAGAAATCATGAGGTGGGGCTCTTACAGGGTAGTGTAAGGGGAGTGTCTAGGGGTATGCAGCAGCCTCAGGATTGGTGCACTTCCAGGCTTGGACGACTTGCCCTGTGTTGATTGGTCAACTGGTTGTTATGGCCCAGTCCCAGGGCTGTTGCTATGCTCTACATGCCACTTGTCTGTAAAGCACACCCATAGCCATAAAACACAGCCCCACCAGATAACTTTTGATTGGTTCCTTGCCACGAGGAGGGCATCTGACTTCCTAGTGACCAGGACAGGAGTAGCAAGGTCAGATGAGCACATGCTAGCCTGTCATGGCTGCTAAAACGGGGGTAGGGGGTGGTCCCTTCAATATGCTAATCAACTTTATCAGCACTGAGTTTTCTAGGAAAGTAGGTACTACACCAATGGAAGAAGCATGTTCCATGTGCTTGTAACTTCAGAGTCGTTATACTCTTTGACAAGTCACATGATTGATGATAATGCCATTCCTGGGGTTTCAGATGCCAAGACACCGGTCTCTTATTCTGCACCTGTAGGTGCTGAGTTCTTGTGACTCTACAACTATCATTAGTGTGCTTATTTAGCTGTTTCGCTCAAATGTCAACCAGCCAGGGTTACTGTGGACACACAAGCAGGTGCATGCACCTGGTTCACTCACTGTGTTTCCCAGGTGGATTTGTTCACAAGCATTAACATATTGGAAAGTCTTCTTTTCCTGCCAGTGACCTCATTTCTCATTCCCATTATAGGGCACTATATTTATTTAAAGATGCTGACTTGGGTTGTATGCCTGTAGTTTCATTTCAGAATAGCCAAGGGGCTGTTTTTGATGAAGTATTTCCTATACAAATGCGATGCTGGATCTAATAGGACTAAGAAACTTTGGACTGAGTAATTCCCAGCACTTATAATTTAGGAAAGTGAAATAACATCAAACAGAAAGGCCACCAGAATGTCTAGCAAGAAAACAAACAGCACACTACCTGGAGAAGTTTCCCTACATCCTTGTAATAAGCCTTCCTCCCCTCCACCCCCTCCAGATCTCTCCAGATCTTCATCCCCTCCTTCAAGTTGGGTCCACCCTTAAAATCTCCCTTGGCAACTGTTGCTAGGAAGGCGATGCCTCTTGAGTTGACATACTGTGTCCTCTATAGGCCCACAGGGAGTGCCACTATTAGATATGGCCTTGTTGGAGTAGGTGTGGCTTTGTTGGAGGAACTATGTCACTGTGGAGGTGGGCTTTGAAGTCTCATATGCTCAGCCTAGGTCTAGTGGGCAGTCACTTCCTGCTGCCTGAGGATCAAGATGTAGAAACCTCAGCTCCTTCTCCAGCACCATGTCTACCTGCAAAGCACCCACCATGATAATAATGGACTAAACCTCTGAATGTAAACCACTCAATTAAATGTATTACTTTATGAGAGTTGTCTTGGTCAAGGTGTCTCTTCACAGCAATAGAAACCCTAACTAAGATTCCTTCCAAAGGATTGAGGTCGCAGGCAGCCATCTGTTTTCTCCCACTTGCTGATGAGACAACCAGTTTTGCCCAGGAAAGTGATGGAGAAATAAGCAAGCAACACAAATAGCAATGCTGACCCATAGGATGTCGATGATGTCATGTAAGATGCAGTGGTTATGGGCTTTTTTGGTCATCGTTATTGTCTTCCATTCTGGGAGATATAGGAGACATCAGCTGCCACTACCCCAGGTCCCTACAAGAGGCCATCCATGACACTTTCTTGGTTACAAGAGTGATGGAGACCCTGCAAAATCTGCTAATTTGGCTCTTCTTGGCAAGTCTGTTCTCAGAAGCTAGGCTGGGTCTTCCAGGCAGGACAGTTCAATGGTCACAGCTTCTTGTTTGACTGATTCGTTCTTTTGATGTAGCCGCAGTGATAATGATGGCTGTCCTTTGTTGGGGGATGCTTCCTTTGTCCCTAGCATTGTTTTAAATGTTTACAGGAATAACACCCTTTAATCTTTCAGCAGCCCTGGGAGGGTCACATCATGAACTTTTCTCTATTGAACTACTAAAGAAACTGAGTGCTTAGAGATTAAGTGGCCTGTCCAGCTGCACCCAGCCAAAAAGCAGCAGGTCGGATCTGACTTTAAGTCTGGTGGGTTCCCAGGCTGGCCCAGGGATCTCGGGGCTGGTGCTGGCCTGCTCTTGTCTGTCATCTCGTTAGAGTCTAGGCCATGTTCAAGGCTTCACTTGCTTTTGATTAGAATGGATATAGGAAATGGTGCAGGCAGATTCATTTGTTCACTTGTTGAGACCCAAACCCTGGAGTTTTCACTGGGAGCCAGGGTAGGACCCTAATCCTTTTCTGGCAGCTGACGGTGTGACCTTGTGGAGAACCAAGTGCCCACTGAAGGCCAGTCTTGGAAGATGCTGTCTTTTTCTTTCCTCTCCGGGACAGGGTTTCTCTGTGTAACAGCTTTGGGTGTCCTGGAACTTACTTTGTAGACCAGGCTGGCCTTCAGCTCACAAGGCCTGCACCCCCACTACCACCCACCGCATGCTGTCTTTTTGATAGTGTTGGGTTGACTGGGGGTAGGAGTGTGAAGCTCCCAGGTGCATGTCCTACACTATAGGGGGATGCTTTGCCACACACTGTCCTCAGGAAACATCGGTTCGTTGTGTTACTTTTCACCTCCAGGCCAAAATGCAGAGATTTAGGGCCAAGGAGCAGAGCAACAACTATACACCAGCAGCCATTTATCCGGGGCCACGTGATGTCTCCTGCCTGCAGAATGCCATGGACACAGCTCCGCAGGCTTTGCATGTGATGGGGAAATGACTGTGTGGAAGGGTAGAGTTTGCCCCCTCTTTCATCTACGTGACGTCAGCAAGGAACGCAGTGCAGGCTGCTGAATCTGCTGTGAGTATCTGACATTTTTCCTGAACCCCATTTGCTCCCGGACAAGGAGGGCTTGAGTGTAGAGGAATTGAATCAGAAGACACAGGTAGCTATGAGCAGAGTCTCTGCCTGTGACACAGGGAGCTTGATGGGCTGCAAAGGGCAGAGGCAGAAAGATCTCTTTCTGGCTCTTCACTGAAGATGCCCATTGGCTGCTCCAGTGCCACAGGCTGCTTCTACCGCCGGGCTGGATTGTCCATCAGCTTCCCATTACTGCCTCTGCTTTCATACATGCCCATGCTGGACTAGATCCAAAGAGGTGCCAAGCTGGTGCTTTATGGCCTGTGCATTGGCCTGGTCTCCCTCCTTTCCTTTCCTCCTCTCTCTCCTTCCCTTCCTTCTTTCTCTCGTCCCTCCCTCCCTCGCTCCCTCCCTCCCTCCCTCCCTCCCTCCCTCCCTCCCTTCCTTCCAACGCTCTCTGTTTTTCCTTTTTCCTTTATACTGTAGGACACTGTATATTTTTACGTGTTAAATGTTAACCCATTTGCTTGTTTATGACTGCATCTCTCTTCCCAGCTTTGTGTAGGATGACTTTTTAATCTTCATTTGGCATCCAGCGGTGTTCTAACAAGTGGCTAAAGGTTATTTGGGAGGTTGAATTCAGCCCAGCTTAGGTACTTTTCTAGACCTGGTGACTGTGGTCTGCTGTAGCCTAAAGGCAAATCTAGTCCCTACCTCAACTGTGTCACTGTGCTGTCAGGCTAAAAAAAAAACCTGTCCCCTTCAGTCAGTGGTGCCATCTGCTGCTGAGTGAGGAGGCACAGATTCACTTACCTAGTCACCCCGGATGTGGGATTTGACTACATGATGCTGTGAACATGCAAAGAGGAACATGAAGTCTCTGGGGTTGGGATTTAGGAGAATTTCTTGGTTCCACTAATAGTGATAGTATCAGATGCATGGTAGAATGTAGGAAAGACTCTGGGAACATCACCTGGTCTTGAGACATCAAGGTTACTTTCCCATGCTAAAATCAAATCAGCATTTGCAAGAGCAAGGAGAGGCAGAGAGGACAGAGGGATAAATACCCCCATCATCTCAGAGGACTCCTGTGCCCGGCACCATTTAAAAACCAATCCTCACCTTCATGTGGATGAATGTCCAGCTTGCGGATGTGATGAGATGGAGTGGATTGCTGCCAATGGATACGGATTGAGCCAATGACGTGACTCAGGTCTCAGCCCCGCTGTACCATGCTTCCCCAGAACATGTTCCCTGCAAGATTGCTTCATGGCTCTGTTCTCCATAACAGCTTAAGGGTGAAATGAGCTCTCAGTTAATAGTCTTAAAGCTCATGTTACATGCATGTGTGAAGGATGTCACAATAAAAACCATCATTTTGTATAATCAATATGTACTGAAAAAAGAAATGTTCGTATATTTAAAAAAACTGTCACTCAACTATTGACTCCAAATTCTTCTAACGTCAACTTGTTTTCACCATTATGAGGTCCACCTTGGGTTCTGGTTTATTTTCTGAACCTTGATGATCTCATCATGATGCCTGGGATGGGAAGAGGGAAGCCTTGGTGTGACATCTGTACTTTAGTGTTCTCTTTTCATCTGAGAGTCACCAAGACATCAGGTTTTCAGAGGGGAAGGGAGAGGGGGAGAGAGTGGGAAGGCCCTGTGAGGAAGCTGAACACTTTGGAGGCAAGAAGGTGTTTCCTAAGACCATTGGGAATATTATGATTCATAACAGCGGCGGCAAAATTACAGTAACGACATAGCAAGGCGATAATTTTGTAATTAGGGTCCTCACAACGTGAGGGACTGCACTAATGGGTGGCGGCGTTAGGAAGGTTGAGAAACACTAAGCTAGAGAAAGGAAGGACTGCATGTCTTCACTCAGTGCCCTCCTGGGCCCTGGGTGCGGCTTGGGCTGGATTTTCCGAGGCGTTAAAAATCACACCAGTGTCCTATTTGACTTATGTGGAAGAGATTGCAGTGTGTAATGGTGGCTCTGGAAGTCCCCTGAGGAGAAATGTTCCTGAAAGGCAGAGACATGTTGTCACTGACAGGTATGGTTTTTCTAAAGGGCAACAAAATTGTGGAATGTATTGGAATGAGCAATCCCATACAACCCCTGCTACTTCCAACAGAACCATGGTAGGTAGCCATCTCTTCCACTGTCCCCCCCACCAACAGCTGCTCTGTTTACACCACTAGATCCAACAGCCATCGCTACCTCTAACACCGCCATTAATACAGCTGCCATTGTTGCTGTCTTCACCATCTCAACTGTTACATCCTCATGTATTAACACCACCACGCCACCTTCATCACTGTCCTTATTATCTCTGTCACCACCACCACCACAAACCACGATGACCACCACCAACCACCACGGCCATCATCACTGTTCCCAGCGTCACCCAACTCCCCACCATCATTACCTTCATCCTCATCATTATCCCTCCACTTCTGCCCCTGCCACTGCCATCTGTCTGCTAGCATCACCACCACTACTGTTGCCACTGCTGCCATTGCCTCTTCTACACAATCATCAGCACCATCACTGTTGCCTCTATCCACCACAACTATCTCTATCCCCATCTAGTCTGCTTCCGTCCCCACCTCCAATGCCATCATCTCCATGAGTTCTTCCACCACCATAACTTCTACTGCCATTATCACCATCAGCACCATTACCTTCACAGCCATCACCACCATCTCCACCACCACCCCCTTTGTCATCACTATCATCATCACCTTCATATTTTTATCTTTACTAACACTTCCACCACTGGCATTACTACTACTAACAGGGGTCTGTTTTGCCATTACCATCTCCCGGACACTTTTGTTGCAGTCCTGTTTGACAATGGAGGGGACTGGGTCTCAGGCCTGGTGGTTTGTTCAAGCCCCTGAAGTATGGAGCTGGAGAGTCAAGAGTTCCTCCCAGGTCTGTATGAGTGAGGTGGCTCAGAAGGCTGCATTGTCGGGTGTGGAATACGGGCTGAGTCTTAGTTTATGTGTTGCCAGGCGCCTCTTTGTTTGGATTTGAGAGGCTCCTTGTGGGCTGTGACCAGGACTGACAATCTGTTTCCCTTTCTTTCTTTTCTTTTTTTTTTTTTTTTTTTGACTTTCTTTCACACATTCTGGATCATATGTCTTTTCTGGTCAGAACAAATAAAAATGTTTTATGTCCCTCCTCCCTTTTCCTGGGCTTTGGATGTAAGTGTTTGCACACAGTTCTGGAAGCAGATGGAGCCCGATAGAAACTCATGTGATAATTCAAACTCAGAAGCTCAGTGAAAACACTCACATGCACAGATATCTCTGAGAATCTGAAAAACTGAGAGACATCTAGGCAAAGAGAGAGAAAGAGACAAAGATACAGATACACCCTGATGGGAACCTTTGCATTTCAGAATCCAGATATGCCAGGACCCCTGGCTTTTCACTAACTGCATCTTTTCTTTTCTTTTTTAAAAATTTAAATTAGAAACAATCCTATTTTACATATCAATCCCAGTTCCCTCTCCCACCCATCCTCCTAACTGCATGTTTCCTAATTTATGCAAGCCAAGGTGCTTGGATGCTGCCTTCTCTCTGGTGCTATCGGTACACACTCGCTAACTCTACCGGCTACCGGCTGGAAGGATATAACTACTTCCTTAAAGAGTTCATGGCTCTGTCGCTTCTAAAGACGATTCCCCTGCATTAAACAAGCTCAAAGCTCTCTGCCAGAACCATCAATGGTTAAATTGAACTGGGGCTTGATTAGGGCTCTGGCCCATAATAAAGCACCTGGGAAGCAAGTTTACAGTAGTGTGTTTGGCCCGAGGGGAGCCGGTAGACTTGGCCGCACTGATATTGTGGATGTGTAGGATTTAGGATCTGTGAGAACGCAGGCAGGGAGACTTCATATCAACATCTACTCCAGGGGGAATGGTGCGAGGGGGATTTCCTTCAGAGCTGCCTTTCACCTCCCATTTGTACTTTTGCTCCTTGGACAACTCAGTGCCATTGAGGAGGTTGGAGGTAGCACTCAGTGAACTTGGGCCTGGGTCTGCTTTTACAGTCATCTTCATCTCCATGACTTTCCTTGGAGCCACCTTGGTAAGTGGGAACACGGGTAGCCTTCTTGCCTAGCTTTCAGGGATGGTTGACAGAAAGGAAGGACTGTGTCTTAGTTTGGGTTTCTATAGCTGTGGAGAGACACCATGACCACAGCAACTCTTGTAAAAAAAACACTTAATTGGGCTGGCTCCCTCACAGTTTCAGAGGTTCGGTCCATTGGCATCATGCTGGCAGACGTGGTACTGGCTACGTCTTGGCTTTCAGGGAACAGAAAGTCGGCTGACTGTGACACTGAGTGAAGCTTAAGCAAAAGACCTCAAAGTCTGCCCCCACAGTGACACACTTCCTCCTGCAAGCCCAAACTCACTTCAACAAAGCCACACCTCCTATTAGTGCCCCGCCCTATGAGACTATGTCATCCAATTGCATTCAAACCATCACAGGCTGATAGTCACAGAAATCCTTCTCAAGGAATAAGGCAGCTTCTTTGGTCATTATCAGTGGTTGCTTTTGGAGGCTGGTGTTGGGGAGGATGGGGTCAGCGTGAAAGAGAGAGTGTTTGAGGTGTGGAATGCAGATGTGACCCCCACCTTGGTCTTATGTCAGACACAAAGTCTCCTCCTCCTGCTGACCTTGAAGGGAGTTAAATCCATTTTCCTCAAGAGTAGGATCAGATGCCGGCTTTCTGGGCGCTGCTGTTTCAAATCCCTGCCACAGAAAGTTCCCAAAGTCTGGGGAAAAACTTTTGTTTTCACTTAAAAAGTGAATGTGTTGATATTTCTACTTAAAAGTAAGAGTTAATCTTCTTTTTCAACATGAAATATGGAAGCATTTTGTTATGAAATAGAAAAGCAGAGATTCAAGCGTTGATATAGAAACACATTGGCTTCCCTGCCCTTTCCTGTTAGCTGTCCTAGATTCGGGGGTGGTTCTGGGAGTGGCAGGGGTGACTACCAGAGTCCCCTGTGCTCTTCCTTGTGGCAACAGAATGACTTTGGCTCAGGTCCTGTGACGGAACTGGAAGACAGTGGCATCATGGGTGGTTCACCAGGTCCAGACCTCTTTGCAGGCTCTACCAATTTATCCCCACGACAACCACAGTAGGGACGGGCTGTTTCTCTGTCCTCTCTACCCTCATGTGGTATAGCCTATCACCTAACCTCCTTTTTCTTTCATTAGAGGGTCATTAAGAAATGACAGTGTGGAATTTGCATCTTTAGAGTTCAAAATTGCTATATTGTGTTGCTGTCCTGGGCTAGGCAAAGCAGGAGTCCTCAGGCAACAGAGGTAGTTAGCACAGCAGGAGACAGAGAGAGAGAGAGAGACAGAGACAGAGACAGAGAGAGACAGAGAGAGAGGCTCCTTTCCCCCTGACCTCTCTCCTAAGCCCAGCAGAGCAGGCGCACCACAGGCATCTGCCTTTGATTGGAGCCGGCAAGGCCAGCAGAGACAGGACACATACCTGTGGTCCAGAGCCTCCCTCCTACCCTGAGAAATGCCGTTTACAGATGGAGAAGAGCAGAAAACATGAGAAGACAGGAAGCTGCAAATTCAACAGATGCACAGTAGCATCCTGGGAGGTAGGGTCACAGCCCACTGAGAGCAAACAGCCACAGGTTGGAGTGTAAACACGGAGGCATTGAAGCCTGGTTTGCTTAGAGAGACCACAGGGAGGGAGCCGTTTGCCTGGTGTGCAGTGGCCCATGAGGGAGCCCCCTCTGGGAGAAGAGGCTTCTGAGCTGAAAAGAAAACATGAGTGTGTCTTTCAGAGCTGGCCTGGGGACATCATTGCCTTCTGGCTTGGCTTCCCACTGGGCCAAACACACAGCTCTAGGGACAGGGCAGCAGACCCAAAGAAGAGATTCAAGGAATCTGTGAATGAATTCAGAGGACTGGAGACCTGGGCTAGCCTCTTCCCTCTTTGTCTTTTGTAGTTAAAATGAATGTTATTGCTCTGTGTCTTGGCTGGCACAGAGGTTACAAATGCCTGCTTCAGAGTCACTTACCTGGAGGGGACATCACCTGCTGGGAACATTTGGTCATGCCCAGCGAGGCTTTTGGCTGTCACAGCTGGCAAATGTTGGGGATGCTAGTGGCATCTAGAGTATCGTGCCGAGGGTGTGTAAACACTCTACGGTGCACAGCGTAGCTCCCAAGAAGGAGTTATTCAACCTTGGATGTCAAAAGTGCTGCTGCCCTGGGACCTCAACAGTAGGCAATCTTTACAGCAGAAAAAACCTGGCTGAGGGCCAGAGGAAGAGGGTTTGCTTTCTGAGTGTCAGCGCTCTGCTAGGAGGGCAGCACCTATTTTTGCAAGCATATGGATTCCTAAGGCCTTGTTACAAAGCTGCCATGGAGGATAGAGACAACGTTCAATTTAGTAACTGGCAAGCATTAGCCTTCTACTCCTGTCCTCCATGGACGGCTGTCTTTCACTCTCTGTCAGCCTTCAGCACAAGCAGGGAGACTCTTGGTGTGTTTAACTTCCCTCTGCTAGTCTCATTTTAGTAATTTAATTATTTTACTCATCTTTGTGGTGCTCTGATGAAGCCTTTCTGCTGTGGAACTAGACTGAGAGTCTCCCAGAGCCAGGAATGGAAGGATTCTTACACAACCCCAGTCCCACCCAGCGATGCCGGAGTACACATGCTGGCTGCTGAGCCCTGGAAGCCGTGAGTTCATCCAGCTGACACCTGCGAGACCTGCCTGTTCCTCGGACTCCCATCTGCTTTGCATAAATGTCCCCTTATGGTTAGGCGCACTCTCTGTCTCCCCGTTTCCATAAGGAGTAATCGTCAATGATAATTAGTAAAGAAACAGAAATTAGAAAAAGAAGTCAAAAAACAAATGATAAACAAATAGCACACGTAGCCTACGGTTAAAAATAAGACAAAATGAAAGAAAGCCTCAAGGGAGACTTTCGGTAAGAAGCAGGAGAAGGTAGAGAATTGTGTAGTAACTTGAAGGGCAACCTTGGGTGCTAAAGACAGCCAGCCTTTTATAGTGCCTCAGAGAAGGGAGATGATGTGAAGAAGGGTGGGGAGCAGCTTGGTCACGTGACTCCAAGTCGCTCAAGCTGCCTCCTTCCGTTCATGACTGACCTGTCTTCCAGTCTTCCAAATCTGCAGCGTGAGCCATGAGGGTCTGTCTCACCCGTGGCGGGAAGCAGCCAAAGAGGGCAGCCACCAAAGCCGGGGCTGTAGACTCTTGTTTTGCAAAGGTGATGTAAAATGGATAGTACTAATAATCCCACTTCATGGAGTATATTTTAGAGGGCTATATAGTAAACACTGAACACAGCACTAGGTGCATCCTATATGTGGCTGATGCGGAGGATGAGGTTGGTGGCAGTGGGTGATGACATGACTGTGTACTCCTATTTTCTGCTTTGCTTATTTTTTCCTGGCTATTTATATGTACATATATGTGACAATGTCTGAGACATTAGAGAACATATTTGCTTACATGCATATGTACATATATATGTTATGCACATGCATATGTATGTGTGTACACATACATCAACACATATGTGCATGCTTTTTAGCTTTTCTCATCCATTCAGTTGTGTCTTGGAGCTAATCGCTTTCCAACTCTTACTTGGCTTGATGACATCATATTGGAGCTTGGCCATGGCGGGGATATGTTGTAGCATGGAAATTGACAAGCCTGTGAATCAAGAGATTTCCCGCCCCCCCTCAGACAGCCAATTTACCAGGGCCCTTGCTTCTGTGTACCTTGCATTTCCAATTAGACTGTGCATTTCTTTAGCACTCAGGATGTGCCACAGACACCCGTTGATCCCCACGGGGCCTCACACGTGTCTTTGGTACAGTAGGCTTCAAAGGATGGTTGAGTCAATAGGACAGAGGGTGCGTGCATGAACGCCCCAGAGGAGATAGCAGAAGTGGGCTCAGGAAAAGGCA